AGTGCAGAACTAACTGTACTCCAGTGATCCGCAAGAGAAGTATAGCCAAAAGAGCTTTGGCTGTACTTCTCCTTTAAGTATCATAGCTGGGCACCATGAGATAATTCCAGAATAGTTAAAGTCTCATAGCTAGGGACCACAATGTGGCTTCAGAATGATTAAATTCTCATAGGGGACAATGAGGTATGGTTATTCTTTTGCAGGGTGTCAGTCAGGGTATCTACTCAGGCTCAATCCCCTGATAGAGAAGTCCAGCATCAAGTCCAGAGGTGCTTCAGGTGCAGTCTGCCCCCTGAAGCTCACAGATCCATCCCTTGACAGGGAAAAAGACAGTCTGCCCAGCCTATTCTACCACCTTCCTTGACCACCTTCTCTGCACACCTCCCCAGAGATCGACCAAGGCATAGTAAATATTCAGGCCACTCATTTGAATTTCCTTCGCTAAGCTCTGGAAGCTTCTCCCAAAGACTGGGGGAAACAATGAAACCCCTAGCTTGTGAAACCATGAGCAGACCAAGGCCAATAATCACTGCTCTTCTGATTACAGAGCAAGCCAAAAATTACATTTACCTAGCATCCTATATAGGAGAGTACAACACCACTAACAGGCCTCCTGCCTAATCTCACAATATGACGGCACTCCTGGCAAAGATGTGACACGGAATACCCAGTACTTCTGCCTATGGAGAAACGTGACATTTCACCTGTTTAGTGTTGTAATGACGTGGGTTCATGGTCAAAAATGCCTAATTACCAGGCCTAAGCTCTGTCACACTGGTCCCTCCAGTAAAGTATTTTTTTTTCTTTGCCTTGTGTGTGCAAAGTCCAGATTTACTTTAACAGACCTTGTGTACACAGAAAATATACAGTCTGAGCTTACACAAATGCTGCAAAAAAGTCTCTAACAGCCATTGATACCAAACCATGGCTGGCTTAGGATGGCTCCAGCAATGTAAGTTGGAGAAACACTGAAAATATCTTTGTAGAGTTCATCAAAACGGAACCAGCCACCATGTATGAAAGACCTTGTAACCGGCAATATATCTATTGTAAATAAACTTGAATTGTACCGTCACATAATCTGTCTATGTCACTGCAAAGCATGTTGGAACGGAGAGAAAAATATACTCTGACAAGCTTATCTAACCACATTACAGAGGTATCATAAACTGAATGACGTCAAAATAAAAGCAGCTGTCACAAACTTACAGGGCTTATGGTGACAAGTTTGTAACATAACAGATCATTTTTAGAATCTTATAATTTATTATCAGCTTTATTTAAAGGTAAATGCCAGTCAAGCGTGAAAATTTTATATTTAAACTTAAGTTGATCTTCCATGAAAATGTATGGTCCTCTCTATTGAAAGCCCCCACCCATCAAAGAAAAATTGCCTGGAAAGGCAATTCAAAAATGAAGCTGTTACTAAAATAAAAAAGGAAAAAATGCTTACCTAAGTGCAGGCTTCCAATGCTTATGACATAGATTATGTCACTATGCCTCACCATTGCCCAGGGATAGCTGGGGGCTCAAAATAACATAGGAATGTACTGCAGCCCATTGTAAGGCGTATTCTCATAGGCATGGTTTTTTTTTTTGCTCAGAAAATAGGTGCAGGTACTCCTCTCTTCCAAGTTGCCCCTTGTCTCCACCCCCTACCCACCTCCGAGCACTGTCCCTTGGTTCCACCCCCTACCCACCTCCCAGTACTGCCCCTTTTAGAGAAAATAGAACTAAGTATCATTTTGTGGTGCCGAATAATTTATATAGAATTTGTTAATGATAATACGAAAAGCAGTGAAATAGACCCCCTGCAGCCAGCAACAATAGCCCCCCCCCCCCAACAACAATAGACCCCAGCAACACAATACCCCTAGCAACAACAGATCCACCCCAGGACAACAATAGACCTCCACCAGCAACAACAGACCTCCCAGTAGCCAGCATTAATAGACCCTCAGCAATATATTCCCCCAGCAACAATAGATCCCTGAGCAGTCAGCATCAATAGACCCTCTAGCCCACTCCCAGTACTCCTTGCCATTATATAAATTTAGTTTTGGAGGTGACGGAACTGCATTCCTCAGTGTTCCTGCTGAAAGAAGCCCTGCTCATACAATTTCAAATACACAGCTAAGCCAAAAGGCAGTGGTGAGATGCAGTGACGTCACCTTGATAAAAAAAAAAGGCAAGCATAGGGCAAAAGACCAGCTGATCCTTTCCCCATTACTGGCTTATGATGTCTGATTCTGCACTGCCTGCACTGACCTCTTGTCAGAGCTGCTGCCCTGATGACTACTGGTGATCTGATGGCTGGTAAGGGAATATAAAATATCAGGAGAGGTGCTGGAAGAACATAATGAAACAGAAGCAGGAACATCCTTGCACTGACATCACCAAATCTTACTCCAAATCTCAGGAGATCAGCAGTCAGAGGCAGCTGTGCCTTAGAAGATCTCACACTTCAGATATACAGCTAAGCTAGGAGTGTCTAGGCATAGTGGCATGCCAGGAATTGTTGCTTTCATCCTCTAAGCCCTACATCATTACAACACTAAACAGTGATTGGGTTAAAGGATGGAGCAATGTATACAGTGGGGAACACAGGTACCCAACACTCCCACAGTTCTTGATTGCTGGAACTGTGGAAAGATAGGTGTGGGCCACTGGAAAGGTGATTAAAGAAAAACTCTTCTACACACAGTCACTGTTTTTTAGTAAGTGTGTAATGGTTGCAGCCCAACAAAAGGCCTCTGACCTCTGTGACCAAGCCCTGGCGGGTGGGGTGAAACAAATCAGGGTGCGTGACTGGAGTGGCAGGTGAAGCCAACACCGATACATTTACTGGGGAGGTTGATGCAGTGACCCAGAGGCATCCCTAGGGTTGATGTCACCCAGTGCAGTAACACTTGGTGACACCCCCTCCGATGATCCCTACAGAATGGATCGGATCTGCGCATTGAGCATAATGGGTTGGACTGCGATCCATTATGCTCAATCCGCAGATCCGATCTATCATGCGGGGATCGTCGGCTTTCTTTACAACTTACCTTTTCTTGGAGTGGGTCCGGTGTCACCCCGTATAGGTTGCATGTCGACGATCCTCACAGGATGCGGGGATCGCCGGCATGCAACCTATACAGTGTGACACCGGACCGCTCCAAGAAAAGGTAAGTTGTAAAGAAAGCCGATGATCCCCACAGGATGGATGCGATCCATCCTGTGGGGATCGTCGGCTTGCTTTATAACTTACCTTTTCGTGGAGCGGGTCTGGTATCACCCCATGTGGTCGGTGTCACCCGGTGCGGGCCGCACTCCTTGCACCTGCTTCGGGATGCCACTGCAGTGACCATTATTTTATCTTCCATTGTTCTAAATCAACTTAAGGGTGCTGGCTCCCATTCTCTGTTATGGATGGGGTCTTTTCAAATTCTCTGGTTTTGAGTGGCGCTACAAGTTTAATCAGCTATTGCCCAACAAAAGGAGTTGATGATCCACTGTAAGGATGTGTCCAGTGTCAAGAGTGAAGATGTTCACTCTGCCCAGTAAACGTAGAGAGGTCAGTAAAGACAGGAGGCAGGTCCAAAATTTTCTCTGAGGCCCACAAGTTATTGAATAATGCTTAAATGTAGCTGTGGAGTCTGCCTATACTTCAGGACCCAATTAGAGCACTTAATAGAAGAGCCTAGAAGTACATGATTTTGGGCAATGAGCTGTGCCTAACACAACCCATTTGTGAAATGTCTTTGTTGCTCTTCATGGGTAAAGGGCGGGCTTGCTTTTGAGAGACTCCGTATTTGAAAGGGTTAAATCACAGCCCATGGTGGGGGACACATACATCAAACATTTCAGAAAAAGTGTTGTATTTGATTATTCTGTGGATGGCTGTGCTCTTGAAGAAAGCAAAAATTCCACTGAACAGCACGAGGACAGATAGTATGCAGCATGTTTTTGTTGACAATTTTTATTTCAATGATAGAATCTCCTTAAAGTGCCCCTGTGCTCACAAATATTGGAGCGCCTTCATTAATGGGTGGGTTCTAAAGCAGAATATGTTTTTTATTTTGCCATGTCTCCTTTGCAGAACTTTTCAATGACAAGATTCCAATGCAGTAGCTCAAACCATACAGAAACAACAGAAAGGAGAGCACCAGACCAAAACCAGTCAGATGAAAAAAACATCCACTGTGTTTTGGGGGCAACACCCCTTTCATCAGGGCTCAACACAGGATAAAACTTGGATGGACTCAGAGACGTCAGTGACTTTTACAGATCTATATTAGAACCAGTATTGAACTCTCCACAAGGAGTAACAACAAATTTGCAGAGCAGCAATGGAGGATCGCAGTGCAGGACAGGGCAGGGCAGAGAAATACTTTGGATTTGAGCATTTTCACTGTACTGTTTAGTGATCCTGACAATGGCGAGTTGTGGCCAGTGAAAGAATCGCAAGCATAATATGGTCTCAATGCACTCAGATAAATAAAATGCCAGTAGGCTGTTGCTCTTCATTGACCCATCAGCAATCTGGGGCATAGGAGCGGGGTTTAGTGTTCGGTGCCCACTGGGGAAGAGAACTCGCACAAAGACCAGATGTTGCAGGAGAGTATATTAACAGGAGGGCATTGAAGAAGTGTAACAGAACCTGTATGCACAGCCACATTGGGTCAAAGCATTTACAAGAAACCATATAGAAAATATCCATGCACAGTACTGACACCTGACAGCATCTGACAGAGGAAGGCAGACCGACAACAGGCACCTGAAAGAGGAAGGTCTGTTGACCAAAAACCAGCAACAGTATTTGTTCTGTCCTTCCTCCACAGGAACCTGTCCTGTTCCTAACCTGACCTTTCCACTTGAAAAATGTGTGCCAACTGAAGGAGGACAGTACTATTTATTAACACTGCCCACACCAAAGATGGCCACAGAGGTCAGCCAGTGCAGCAGTGTCCAATCAGATAGCTGCTCCCCTGAAGACAACTATGAAGACCTTAGAGCACAGGTGTCAAACTGGCGGCCCTCCAACTGTTGCCAAAATACAAGTCCCATGAGGCATTGCAAGATTGACACTTACAAGCATGACTCCCAAAGGCTGAGGCATGATGGGACTTGTAGTTTTGCAACAGCTGGAGGGCTGTCAGTTTGACACCCCTGCCTTAGAGGAACATGGATTCCCCCTTATTCACTACTCTGAACAGCACCACCCTTGGCCAAATCACAACTGTCTACAGACAGGTTCTGGTCATTGAACTGAATTAAAAATTTTTTGGCATGTAAAAACATTCACATATAGGTATTTGAGCTGTGTATTGAGCCGATTGCCTGGAATCCAGAATTAAAGCAGAGAGCCTCTTTAAAAGTAATACAAATAGAATTACATCTACAGTATATTTCAAACTTGTATGCTCAATACTCATTTTGCAATGCAGGCACTTTGTACTTCTCATGGTGTACTTCCCCATCCTTTGTTTTTTACTTGTGAAGCTTGGTTGAGGTATTTCCTTCAACGCAATCACACTTGATTTATTGATCTCATTACAATCTGGGCTGACCAACTTGTTTTCCATGTAGTTTAAAGACATAAAATTAACAACTTTAATTAAACAGCTGTAATTCAAAGGAAACCATTTTTTTCTTCAACTAAAATGAAGTGTTTTATTTTTATGTTTTTTTTTGTTGTAGATAATTTCATCACACATAAAATCTTCCCAACCAGATACATCATTTACACGGATGACCCGATCACGTCGATCCCGACCTTTTGAAATCATGCGACTTACGGTTGCCAAAGTCTAAAATGAAAGGTTTTCAATATTTCTGGGTTCACATGTGAGGTGGGTATGTGAGATTTAGTTCCAATTTTCTTCATCTCTATCTCAAGTGGCATTTATATGTATCACAAATCAAGTGCTAGCGGGTATATCTGCCATCCCTCTCTGCAAATCCCTCCACTGGCTTCCCATTGCCCAACGGATAAAATTCAAAACATTAACAATAACATATAAAGCCATTTATAACTCTGCCCCAAATTACATCACCGATCTTGTCTCCAAATATCACCAAAACTGTACTCTCCACTCCTCCCACGACCTCCTGCTCTCTAGCTCCCTTGTCTCCTCCTCTCATGCTCATCTCCTGGACTTCTCCAGAGCTTCCCCTATCCTCTGGAACTCTCTACCCTAATCTATCAGACTATAGCCTACTCTGCCCACTTTTAGGCTACCTCTAAAAACCTATCTCTTCAGGGAAGCCTATCCTGCCTTCAGCTAATAATGGAATCTTCTATTCCTTCTACCAGTCCATCCCCCACAGGTATTAACTTTTGTACCACTAGCCCCTTCCTCTTAGATTGTAAGCTCCAAGGAGCAGGACCCTCCTAACCCTCTTGTATTGAACTGTATTGTTGCTGTATTGTCTCCCTTTATTTTGTAAAGCTCTGAGCTAACTGTTGGCGCTATATAAATCCTGTATAATAATAATAATATTAATAATAATAAAGTGAATCTGACATTCGTCAAGCATTTAGACTAGGTTCACACTAGTCTGCATGGTAAAGCGCAATGGTGAACTGCATTTATCCCATGTGGAAAAAACGCAGGTCACCACAGTTAGTGAGAATGAGCCCTTATTGTACGTGAAACTTCCAGGTACATGCACTTTCACTTACAGTGATTGATTCACTAACAGTGAATGCTTTCTGTTAACAGGGATGGGGCAAGGGGTGGGCAGGAGGGTCAGCTGCCCCAGGCACACCAGGGGGGGCACTATCTCACTGCACGTATGCTCCAGATAAGTGGCTCGCAACCAATGTGCTGTGACTTTATGTCTGCCCTGACCGCTACTGCTGCCACTCTGTGCTCCAACATGCCCACTCTCCACCCATCTGCCCAAGGCTGGCATGAAAAACACACCGTACATGTACAACTACCTTCTAGCTGGTAGAAAGGAAGTGATTGACCATGCATGTGTAGTGCCCACCCCATGCCAACCATGAGCAGCTGGAGCAAGGAAGCAAAAAATGGGTGCAGTATGGTACGCCCATTCTACGACATGCATTAGCAGTGGAAGGTGGGAGCGCAGTTCTGCATTTTTGCCCTGGGCACTGGACAAATTTTCCTGGTACATTTGGTTAATGTCACATTTACTGCTTTGTAACAATTCCCCTTTTAAAGTGTATGTTTGACAAAATTTCGATAGTCCCGAACCCCTCATTAGCACTCCTACACATCGGAATCGAGAAACTCCCTCCCCACTCCTGATCAATTATTACCCACATACTCTTTGCCGCCAAAATTAATATTACTAGATTATGGAACACAAACAATACCGCCTCAATCACTTCATTACTTACAGACTTAAACACTCAATGCCAAATGGAAAACTTATCCGCAATTAACACTTCTTCCTATCACAAATTCAATATTCAATGGACCCGATGGCTAAATCACCCAAAATGCTCTGTACAACCCTGATGACATTTCACGAGATGAAATCACACCCCATACCAAGACTAGTATCTCCTCAAATACCCAGTTATATCCCTCCTCCCCCCAATCCTATCCTCCCCCACCTCTCCACCAAAACCCCCTTAACACCCCAACTCATTACCAAGGTTCATCAATTGCATATGAATACCTCTGATGATATTGCTAAACAAGACCAACACCTCACCCGTCCAATGGGCAGAACTACAACAAAAATGATCAACCATATTTTGTCTAGTGCAATATTGTATGTATGAATGAACCATATCTCTTGTCCCTGTTTTTCCCTGTTTATCTCTGAAAAACTTAATAAAAATATTGAAATATAAAGTGTATGTTTGGGAAAAATGAAAAAACACATTGGGGTTGATTTATTAAAGGCAAATAGACTGTACACTTTGCAAGTGCAGTTGCTCCAAAGCTTAGTAAATGACATAAAGCTTCACTATGCAAAAAATACCCAATCACATGCAAGGAAAATAAAACAGCATTCTAGCTTGCACATGATTGGATGATGGAAGTCAGCAGAGCTTCTGCACATTTACTAAGCTCTGGAGCTAGTGCACAGTCTATTTGCCTTTAGTAAATCAACCCCATTTAGTACATCTCTGCAAAACATGCAAATGTATTCATGTTTTTGCATAAAATTGCAACACAAGCCATTTTGTAATTTAATGATATTAAAAATGACCTATCCATTTCAATCTGACGCCTTTATAATTTTTTAAAACTGTCAAAACATCAATGCTGTGTGGCTACCAGGAGGTGTTCCATACCCAGTAGTGTACCCAGAAATGTAATTTCCTGCTTGTATGATTGGCTCACTGATTTTCCCAGAAGTTTGTGTGAAGATAGTCAGATTTTAGGCATTGCATTAAGAATTTCATTTTTAGCTCCTTAAGGGTTAACTACTTCCAAAGGGCTGCAACTTTCCTCATTAGAACACAGAGAGCGCAAATGGTGATTATAACGAACTAGGCCCTCCCATTCAGGAATCAGTCCTGACAAAGGACAAAGTGGAGCAAACAGCTTTCTCTTCAGCACAGAAATAGGTAGGGCTTTGCATCAAAATGAGTTAAAATCATTTCAATGCACATAGGTCACCCAGAGATTGATTGTTTTCTCTTAACATAGGTGGAGTTTTAGCAATTCAATTATCTGAAATACATATATGTGAATTGTTTTAAAAACATTTCTAAATTCTGCTCTGTTAACTTGCTGACTATTTCCTATTTCAGTATTATGCATCACCTGCCATCTCATCAGAAGTTTAAACAACATGCGATGAGAGATCTTAAGCAGATAATTGACCTACATATTGGTTAAAGTAATTCAAGTGGTTGTAAAGACTCAAGGTTTTTTACCTTCATGCATTCTATGCATTCAGGTAAAAAACCTTCTCTGTGCAGCATCCCCATCAGCCCCTCTAATTATTATTATTATACAGTATTTATAAAGCGCCAATAGTTCGCTCAGCGCTGTACATTACAAAGGGGGGACAGAACATGTGACAGAACAATACCAATACAATGCAAAACATGAGGGGATCGAGGGCCCTGCTCGAGGGAGGGGATAGTGGTACAGGAGGAGATAGCTGTGGGGGATGGAGTGGTAGGAAGAGTGGAGGAGGTCGGCAGGTTAGCAGAGGGTGGGGTAGGCTTCCCTGAAGAGATGGGTTTTCAGGGTGTGCCTAAAGGAGAGGAGAGTAGGTGATAATCTGATGGGTTGGGGCAGGGAGTTCCAGAGGATGGGTGACACCCTGGAGAAGTCCTGGAGGTGGGCATGGGAGGAGGAGACCAGGGAACTAGAGAGAAGGAGGTCTTGTGAGGAGCGGAGTGTGCGTGCTGGGTGGTACTTGGATATTAGGTCGGTGATGTAGTTCGGGGCAGTATGGTGGACAGCTTTGTACGTCAGTATTAGGATTTTGAATTTGATCCGTTGCGCAATCGGAAGCCAGTGGAGGGATTGGCAGAGGGTGGTGGCGGAGATGGAGCGGTTGGAAAGGTGAATGAGTCTGGCAGCCGTATTCAGGATCGACTGAAGCGGGGAGGGGATAGCCAGCGGCGAGGCAGGCCAGTGAGGAGGGCGTTGCAGTAGTCGAGTCGTGATATGATGAGGGAGTGGATGAGCTGTTTAGTGGTTTATGGGGTTAGGAACGTGCGTATATTTTAGCGATGTTACGGAGGTGGAGTCTGCACGACTAATACTAATACTCACCTAAGCCCCTTCATTCAATTCAGCGATGTGCACTGGAGTCTTGGCTATCTCGGGACTCCCTCTCCTCAGTGACTGAGACAGCAGAGGGAGCCATTGCCTCATGCTGCTGTCAATCACAGCCAGTGAGCCAATGAGAAGAGAGAGGGAGTGGCTCCGGCAGTGGTTCCATGTGTGAATGGACACACAGTGCAGCGGCTGGAGAACACGCATGCTCAGGTGACCCCCATAGCAAGCTACTTGCTGTGAGGCACCCGACAGGAGGGAGGGGCCATGAACTCCGGAGGGGGGACCCCAGAAGAGGAGGATCCGGGCTGCTCTGTGCAAAACCATTGCACACAGCAGGTAAAAATAGACATGTCTGTTAGTTTAGAATGACTTTAAATCATTACATACTGTATATACATTCTTCATTTTCATATTTATATCACTTAGCCAAAAAGGAGGCATGCAACTTCTTTT